CCGTTGGAGGACATTATAATGAAAGTGGAATTGGAAACCAAAACCAAGAAAATGAAAAAGGAAACCATAAAAAAGTTCAAAGAGATTTACGGCAAAAAAGATAAAACAACATGAGTAAATTGCCATAGAAAATAGTACTTTCTTTTATCTCTTGTCTTTACGGCAAAGACATTTGTTGAACTCCGGGTTGATGAGTATGACGTGCATGAACTTAACATCAAAGCTAGAGTAAGAACTCTTCCACAGAGCCTTTACATAAGAATCATCCAGATTACACATCTGAACAAGTATTATTTGTGCAATCTGATTTCGCTGTAAAAATTTAGGTATCCGTCACTCGTGTTGAAAGCCTCGATAGAGGCGATAGGTTTTCAGCAGTCTTTGCTCCTGTATGCTTGACTCAGGCTTTATCAGTTGCTGCTGAGCTTGTTGACAAAGGCTTGCAGGGCTCGAAATTAAAAAAAGTTCCAAGTCGCCTTTTGACGACTATCAGAGAAAAAATGGTCGCCAAATGCAAAAATGCAGCCGCCAGATAGTACAAGAACAGAATATCAGATTAGAGCCTTATTTAATGGCATTGTTGCTCGCGGCTTCTGGTATATTGTGGCTGCGGTTGTGGGATAGACCGAAATACTCGATCTTGAATGACTTAAAACATGAAAACACAAAAGGAGAAACTCGGAGAGACTTTTGCATGACAATCTTACCTTAAGCAGTAAGCGAAAAAAGTCATAAGAACATTTCAGGGTTACTTTAGGAAAGAGAATCTATCACATCGCATGCAAGAAATCGTAAGATACGAAGGCATCAAACATTGATCAAACATGGCGGATAGCCATTTAGTACCGGACCTCCTGATCTCAACGTAAATCCGCTGGTCGGATTACGCTGATTTTCTAGAGCGTGTTTTCGCTCGAAAATTAATTACTCGTGAACTGAGGCCGGGTCTCCAGGATTTTTGGGTTGTTTGCTGTGTTTTAGTTTTTTACAGGAAATTGACAGCACAATCAACAGTTGGTTCATAGAGAAAAACGAATGTCAGGTTTCAGGTTTTTTTAATGTTCTCAATTGATCATAGTCGCCAAAGTGGCGACTAAACTCGAATTTTTAGTCCCCAAGTTAAAAGTTTTAGTCGCATTGGCGACTGTATCGGTCGCAATTTCGAGCCCTGCAGGCTTTTTTCCTGCGCTTTACGCCATTCATATATTTTATTAGACGTTTTGTTGTTATTTTGTTGTTATTTTGTTGTTTTTCTTGTTATTTTGTTGTTTTTCTTGTTTTTTTGTTATTTGACGAGCCCGTAGGGCGAGTCAAAATACAAATGACGAGTAAAAATACTCAGCGATACTACACAACGAAACGTCTAATAAGTTATTTATTATCCAACACGCCAAACTGTTATTTCAGTGCGAGTGAATTTCGCGGATATTTATTTACGGGGAGTGCGTGACAGAAGTATGCAAAGCGGAACGGAATTGGCACGTTGTCGTGTTGCTGTTTCTATTTTCTTCAATAAATGAAGAAATTTCCAGGTCGTCTAGCTGTTTTTCTTCGTTGGATTCTAATAAACTTGGATGTATATTTGCCAGCCATTCTGACTCTTTGTCGTCGGAAAAATGATTCAAATTGCCCGCCATTTCTTTTTTCGTAACTACAATTCAACTTTTCGTTTACGCGATGCGAGAAAACCTGTATAACCAGTACTCTAAAGTACAAATACCGCGTGATATTTGTACTCGTCTATGGCGTTATTTGTACTCTACGAAGTGTAGTTGGATAATAAATCATGTTATTTTACGTTGCAA